ACACCAACCTATCAAACTGTCTGTATGTGTGAATTGTTTTATCTCGTGGGAAAATTAAATTATTAGAAAATTAATCCATTTATGAACCCATCTATTTATGTATCTATGCGGCCAAATGACAAAGTATCCGTCCGATTATGTTCAGGTAAACATTTCTATCCGTCCATCTATTTGGTTATTACCACACGGATAGATGCATGCGGCTCTATGACACTGAAGACTTATGTTTTGTGTCAAAATGAGTCAATTTTTCGGTAGAAGGTGGACCACTTTCCTTTCGTGCTCGAGTGCCGGGGCCCTGTGGACGTCTGGCCTGCACATGAGCCGGAAGTCGGGCCAGATGCCAACAGTCTGTCCTCCCGGCTACTGGAATACCGGACAGACTGGCCTCCTATTGGCCGGCTGGTGCCCCTCCAAACGGGACTCGAGTCAGCCGAGGTCGGTTGGGCTGGATGCAATGCAGTCAAGCAATGGCCCGACTCGGTTCAGCCTCCATCCACACACAATCCAGCCCCCTCCCCGCCCGACGACGGGTGACTCGAGGTGGATTTCACGTCCTACAGAAAGAGGAGGCCAGAAATCGCCTCAATCTTGCTCTTTCGCTTCTCACCGCAGTCGACCACCTTCCCGATGGGCACCTCTTTCAGGATGGTCGAGGCCTCCCGCAATCCGAAATAGCGCCACAACTCCTCCAGACTGTTGCGGACCGCTCTGATCACCGCCTCCAGACAGCGCTGCCCGATCTGTCGAAGCAGGTCGTCGATGAACTGCATCGTCTTGGTGACCACTCGATGCACATGACTCTGATGCACGATCGACTGGCCGATGCTGCTGGCCCGCTTGGCGAGTGCTGGCGTTAGAATTCCACCCTCAGAAGGATCTGGTTGCCGGGTGGAGAAAAGGGTATTTGTATGTGTGTGTGTGTGTATGTGTATGTGTAGGCATTCATTGTGGAAAGAAAAGAAGACCATTTGCAATCTGTTGCCCCGTAAAACCCCCTTGCCGAAGTAGAGGGTTCGAGACCCCGAGGCCACCGAATAGGCCATCCTCGACCCCACTTCCGAACTTTCGCCCCACCCATTTGGGCGTCAATGGTTCAAACGACTTTTTGAAATGCCCATTTTGTTGTCAAGCGCTAAACCTGGCGACCAGCCATAAAGACCGGCCACAACGGTCGACTGGCCGCTGGCACGATGGCACAATGTGGCAGCGGACATAATGTATCCTTCAACCTCTTCACTAGACAAGCCTCATTCTGATTCCACGATCTTGGCCACCAGCACTCTTCGTCAGGAATCCCTTGAAACCAAATATTTTTACACTTTTTCCCACAGTCTTGTCAGCGAGGCAGTTCTATGCGTGATCTCTGCTGTTGGCCCGAGTATATTTCGGTATTCTAATTAGGCTTATGGCGATCATAAGAAATGCTATCGGTACCAAAATGCTCAAAAAATGAGACCAAATCAGAGTTTATACGTGGGTTTGATAGGCTATCAGAAGCTCATTTGCACATGAGTTTAAAGTGATGAAGGATTGAAAGTTTGATTTTTCCACATTCCGATGATATGGCCTCTCGTCTCCATCAAATTTTTCATAGTCTTGCCTCCTGACAGTTTTTCTCATCCAAGCAGGAGGAGACTGCAGTCTCGATCTCGCCGCAATTCCTCCTAATCGCTACCCTCTGATCACAGGATAGAAGTGAATCTCCCAGATCACATGAGACAACTGTGGGATTTTCAGCGAGAAAAAGTTTTATCTGCTGTAGTCATCGGCCACATTACTTATTTTCAATTGTATAATTAGGCTTTCGAGACTGCGATGTGCTAAGTCTATTTCATTGAATTTTCCCATCATCAAGTGAGCAGGCCTCCTCATGTTTTCCTTGAAATTCACACCTCCATGTCCCACAAAAGCTATACTTGTGGAAGACTTCAACTAGGCGTCCTTCATCACCTTCAAGAGACAGTGTAAAAACATCTCTTGCAACCGAAAGGAGCCTGCTTTGCAGTTCACCTGCCTCTGAGCCCACACGTACACACTTCAAGGGTGGGGCTACAGCCTCACATGACGGCACTGAAACCAGAATCGACTCTCCTCTTCCCCTAATCGAGTTGTCACACCCGCTTTGAACACACAATTCAAGTCACCTCAACAACCTGTTCGCACTCGAAGAGTAAAGGACTTGAAAAAACTGGCTTCATCTTTCGGCAAAGTTGAGGTGCGTGAAAATTTCTCCTCTGCAGAACAGCACATGTCGATCTGTCCAAAGCACGACGATGCATCTACTCCGGCCAACTTTTACTGCCGTAGTCTGCTTCAACTCATTTTGAATTCACATGAAAAATAAATGCCCAACTTTCCTCTACTCTGTTGCTGGGCCGACAACGCCACTGGTGCGTCTCACTCGTCGTACCTCGTCGGGCCAACAGCAGGTTGAAAAGAGAAGCAAACTCATTCTTGAAAGTCTTATCTACCGGAACAAGACGAATGTAGCGAGATGGAAGAAGTTATGGTCATTTTATTTTGATGTCTATACACACACACGCACACACACACACACTGTAGCTATATATATGTTCGTGTATGTAAATTTGCATGTGTC